ATATATGTATATATATTTATAAAATAACACATTAATTACAAGTAAAATAAAATAAAAACTACACAACCTTGACTGTTACAATACAATTAGTGATTTCTTCTAAATGAAATAAAAATATTTGTAAAAATTACTGTGATGTCTGAAGTCCATGATACCCAACCCGTATAAATTTGAAAATTTGAAATCCATCCATCCATTATCTTTTACCCGCTTCTTCCATTTTGGGTCACGGGGGTCGCCGGTGCCCATGTCCAGCAATCACTGTGCAAGGGGCGAGGTACAGCCTGGACTGATCGCAAGTCCATCACAGGGCCACATAGAGACAAACGAGACAAACAACCGTTCACTCTCTCACTCACACCTAGGGACAATTTAGATTTACCAATCAGCCTAACTTGCATGTTTTTGGTCTGTGGGAGAAAACCGGAGTATCCGGAGAAAACCCACGCATGCATGGAGAGCACATGTAAACTCCACCCAGAAAGGAACTCGGACCGGGATTTGAACCAGGGACCTGCTCGCTGAGAGGCAGCAGCTCTGCCGGTTACGCCACCATGCTGCCCAACACTGGATACAGTATGTTTTAATTTAGATTTAATGTAGAATTGTATCTCAGGTTTTGGAAAATTTATCAGGCTGAAAAATTATTACTTTGAATGAATCTATTTGTGAAAATCAAATCAAATATGTCTCAATATGCAGATAATGTGTTTATTTTAGAGAAACGCATACAAAAACTAAATAAAAAATAAATGTCCCTGAAGAAGAATGCATGTCGCCTACTGCCTTGTTTGCCAATGTAAAAAAAAACAAAAAAAAAACGATGTGTGATGTGTTTATTAGTATAGGTTGGGGATGACTCTCAGCTACTACTATTTTCTATATGTAAAACTGACTGTAGCCATTTAAATGTTTGTATCTTGATTTGGGTTTACCCAAAATCAGGTATAGGTTTGATTAATTACTTTCAAAAATATTGAATAAAATATATCAGGGGATTCTGTTATATTTTGCCAATAAACAGTCACACAAAACACATGCATTTAAATGATCACCAAGTTATGAGTGATAAAAAGGGTAAAATAGAGCTTTAGCAGACTTCACATCACACTGAGCTGTTTAAACCCAGAGCTCTTTTAAAAACCCTCTGTCCATCTTCAGCAAGTATGTTATGAATATGACTCAATGCTTTGGAGGTTGCTGCAAAAGAAAGCCCCATTGCTGCTGGGATTCTAATCATTGGGATGAATCTGACCACTTCCTCTGCTGCCATTAATGCAATGGCAATTCTCAACTGCGCAAAAAACTTTAGAATGAGAGCTGGGGTTATTTTTACTGTAGCTGGTGGTGAGTGGATGACTCCTGTCAGATCAGTAACTGGCACGCCTGTGCTGTCAGCTAGTTTATCAAGTGATCTGATGTCAAGCCCAAAGCTAACAATGTATTGTTTGAAAGCTGTAAAAATTAGAGTAAATTTAACAGCAATGGAAAGCCCTGGAACAGGTACAGCTGCTCCAGCTGCAGATGCAGCAGCAATATACTTTATTTGGGAATGAAGAGCTTCTTTCTTCTTGTTTATAACTTGCAGGTTGATGTTTAGCATGGCCATCAGAAAAGCACGTCTCTTGTGTTCAGGAAGTTCTCTCTCTAAGGTCTCATGTAACAGAGGGAAATCAAAGAGGTGGAGATCATAATTGGACAGCAGGAAGACCTGTGGAGACTCAAATCCTTCTATCTGAAGATCTGTGTCATAAACAAAAAATAACAAAATCATAATTAAGCAACAAAAAATATGTATTTTTTTTGTATTTATAATAATTAACATGTATTTTCAAGCCTCATTTTGTGACAGATAAACAAGATTTATTTTTTTTCTTCAGTTAAACCTTTAAGTTAATTTCCATTTTAAATGTTGAGGGTTGTTCAATTTTTTTTGAAAAACTAAAATAAAATAAAAAAAGATATGATGGATGGTAATTGTGGTGCATTGTTAGAAAGATTATATAACTTTTGTCTGTTTTTGTGTGTTTATCATAAAAGTAGTATATTAAACTTCTATAAGAAAACGGGAAGAAAAAATAAAGTCACCGTGTTAATTTTTGAATGGTAATTCTCAGGAAAAGAAGTGTTTATGTGAAGAAGGCATTCTCAACAGATAAGAGTGAGGACGTGATCTCCCATGGAGAAGAAGTTACTCCCTGATCCTTAAAATATCTGTGTTCATTATGATTTTTAGAGAAGCTTCTTCCATTGCTGTAATGTGGAGTTTTCTCTTGCCAAGTATTGTATAACATTATATGCAATATTTGTTTAAACTTCTATCCTAGACTCATGAGTGTTATTATATATGTAAACTTTTTTAACGTATGCCATTTCTTATTTTTTACAAAATATCTTTCTTGGAAAAAAAAAATCATACAGTGATTTAAATTATATTAAAAAAAATAGATACAAATGGTAAAACAAATGTACCTCTGATGTAGTTTTCTCTGATTTGTTTCAGAGTCTCCTCGGCATTAAAGTTCTGTTTACTTCTCTCTTGAGCTTGTAAATCACTGTCGATCTTTGAGCGAACGAAGTAGAACTTCTTCTCCATCTTCTGAATCGCCTTAGCAAGTTTCACATCATTTTCTCTGAAGCGAGTGTCTGAGATGATGATGAAGAAGTCAAAACTTTCAAATTCTACATGCTTCATGTATTCGTCAGCTGAAATATTTGTGGTTCCAATCCCAGGAAGATCCCATAAGATAACGTTGGCATACTTTGGATGGAGGTATGAGCTGACAACTGAGGTGGTTTCAGTACAACCAGCAGGAGCTGCTCCTTCATCGTTGTTGGTCGTTCCTCTAAAGTAATTAATAAAAGTGGATTTACCAGAGCCAGATTTTCCGGTGATGGCGATGTTTAGTGGCATATTGGTTTGCATTTCTACATGTTCTAAGATCTTTGCAGCTGCTGCAGCAGGGTCAGTCTGCATCAGCGATGCAATCATTTTTCCATTAAACTCATCATCCATGTTGACTCCTAAACAGAAGAAAAAAAAGTTGAAAATTTTAAAATAAATTCAAATCCAAGTCAGAATTTTAAAAATACAACATCCTGATGTGATTGCATGAGAATAAGGAACACTTATTTTGCAGTAAACAGTAACGAACAGTAATAAAACAAAACAGGAAACAACACAAACTAAATAAAGTTCACATTCACAAGCTGCTGTTTATGAAGCGGATAATGCAGCTTGGGGGGAAATCTGGGGGCTGGATGTCAGGATGCATTTGTGACATTCATAGTGTCATAAATAAGCCAACAACTCGGGGGCTGGACACAGCAATTAAAATCAATTTGTAAATAAACAAAAGTTTACAATGATCTGTTACATTTTAAACATGTTTGTTTTATTAAATTTAATCATAAATGCAATAAACAAACACAAACCCAGAACCCAATTATTATTACTTTTTTTAATGAAGTGGGCCGGATTGAAGTCACCTGCGGGCCGGAAATGGCCCATGGGCCACCAGTTGAATAGCCCTGCACTATACTAACAACTCTGCAGGAGTGAGCTATGCTAGACCAGGCTTTGATCTCAGTGAAAGATTGAAAACATTTTTTGTTATTCTATTCAAACTAAACTATTTCAGCTTTTGATAGAAAACAGCAGTAATAGTCCAAATGGATCTCTGAATAGGTCTGGTTTGTTTCATAGCTTCAGTAACTCATAATTTATATTATTAGACAAGATTTAAAAAAAAAAGCCAAACAAAGTTAAATTAGGTCCTCTGGATGGTTTATTTTTGTGTTTCATCTTTCATCCAAAATACGTCATCAGTCCGAGAAGCCACAACAAGCTCAATCTTATAAAAAGAACCATCTCATAATGGGTCAACCAGTTTGATGGTGCCAAGATGGTTTCTGGAGTCCGCCCACTCCTTTCAGGCAGTCATGGCCAAAGTGGTTCAAAATATCAAAGTTCATGCTCCATAATCCAAGTAGTTGTTGGATTTATCTACTTGGATTATTGGGCATAAACTTTGATATTTTAAAACTGGTTTTCACTTTGACATTATAAATAAACGTGTTCTTATTTACTATCAAACAAGTCACACTCTGATTTTTCTTCACAAAGTCAACTAATCAAAAGTAAAAATATTCAAATTCTAAAATTAAAATATATTTGAATATCAAAACTTAGCAAACATTGCCCAGATTTGCTTAAATTATTTGAATACAAATGAAAAGTTAACAATATGCTGGTGCTTCAAAGTTATATAAAAAAAAAATAGAAAATACTAGTTTATTTTTTCATTAGTTTTATTTTACTTAAAGTTTTTATTATTATCAGCTGTAGCATCACCACCATCAATTAATTTTCAGGTATGGGTAAAAAAAAAAAAAAAGATGCACCGAATTAAAAAAAATGGAAACAAAAAATCACCATTACCATATTTTGGACTGAGAGACTTTAATGTCTGACAACTAAGTAGACATAAAATCAAATTAGAAAAACAAAAAAAGACCAACAAACTATGAATTAAATATTTACCTACTTTGGGATCTTCTTAAACATGAACACTCTGACACAGTTTGTACATGTGAGAATATTTCAAGGAAACGTTCTTTTTACTGTAAACTGAGCGGACGTATCCTGCTGCATCTGAATATGCTCAGATTAAACAGAGGAGCTTCTGTGGGAGGTGATTTACAAGAAATCCAGAGGAGGAGGTACCTAATGGCCTTTATCATTTTCAGACAAATACTGGTGTCTAAAAGAGACAAGCCTGCATTGTGCCTGTTTTACTTTCAGTTTTACAGTCTTGTTTTTACTCGTCCTGTTTGCACAGCGTTTTTGTCACACCTTGCTTGATCAGTCAGTAAGAAAGAAAGTCCTTTGTGAAAATATGGACGACTGAAACAACAGTTTTCACTTAACATGTTTGACTTTACTCCTTTTGAGAAACTAATAAACGTTATTTATGTTTGAAATATTCACAAAATGAGAAATAAAAAGCAGAAAAGAGAAATGAGAGAGAAATAATTTAATAATATATCTTAAATTATAATTCATTTAATATTGAATTTACAAAAAATATGAACTTGATTTTGATTTGACGGAGTAAAAAGACATAAAAGGAAAAAAAAAAAACCGTCCTGTTAATCTCAGATGGATCAGCTACCAGCCGTGCACGTCTTCGCACCTGCTGTCATCTGCGGTGAAGGAAGTAGGAGCGTCTGAGCAGGGCCGGTTCTAGGAATGGTTACATGAGGGGGCAGGCAGAAATGTGAAGGGGGCATCTTCATTCGTACACATGTTACAGCATATTCATTGCTCAGCATGGACATTTGTTTTGTTATTGTTGACTTGTGTTTTCTTCATAGGATTGAGGTAATAGCTAAAAGCTGAAATTTTACACCTGTGAGTCAACATTTTCAACCATGAACCATCAAGCACAAACAGAGAAACTGGCTGACCCATGTCCATCTTGGATGCCTCACTGTGGATGAACCATCAAATTACAAATACAACATGAAGAAAGTGAAGGACATGCACCACGGCTTCTCATCTCAGTACTAAGGTACCTTTTTTTAAACAGATAATGTGTTTGCTGCGTTTCTTTTTTGTTCATAGTTGGGATGTTTCATTTCATTCTTTTATTTGAGTAACTTGGGGCGATATTGCGGCTCTCCCCTCAACTTTGATCTGTCAGTATGGATCTTTTGAAAAATAAAATAAAATAGTGAGGATCACTGCTCTAAATGCTCTGGGCAACACATGTCTGAATTACTTGTTATCCACTAACAATGCTTAATAATTTTTCTGATTTTTCACGAAATCCCTCTGACCGCAAAGTGTTGATGAAGCAAAACCGTCAATGTTTTTGGAGGAAAAGGGGGTGAAGCTCCTGCAGGTAAGGGGCGTTTACCTTCAGGAGGAAATGAGGTTGCCGATTGGTCAGCTGCTGACGAGCATATTGGATTGAGTGACAGGTGGCATGGAGGATCCGACTCGTGCAAAAAATTAATAGATCTTACTGGTGTTTAAGAGTGTCATTATTTATTCTATTTTTATTCCATTTTTTGTATATATTTTGGTTAATCTAAGGTTTGAGAACTGAGGGGTTGTTTTTATACATAAAATGCTAATGATGGTTTCTTAATTTTTCAGGAGTGCTTAAAATTTAGGAGTGCTTGAGCACCCCCCAAAAGAGACTAAAATAGCCACTGTCTTATATTAACAATCAGTTTCATCAAAAAATAACTTCTATCTCATAAAACATTTAAAATAGTCAGTTCCTTTTGGCTGCAGGGGTTGCCATCAGGTCCAAAATCACATGGAAGACTTGATTATTTGTCTCCCAAATGCCCTTCCTGACAAAACCTGGGCTCAAATCTGCAACCTCAAGATCACGGCACTGACCGCCAAGCTACAGCTGTCACGGTTTTCAGGCTGAGCAGGCGAGGAAAGAACTCCGTGATGCCGGCAGGACTCCGAGGCCAGATTGTAAAATAATAAATACTTTCCATGATCAAAATAACAAGTTGATGTGGCAGCATAAACTTACAAAACAGGGTCAGGGCAAACACAGGGTACACGGGAGGCATGCCAGACGATGGACCAACACTGAACAGGACTCAGACAGAATTACAGACACCTGGAGGACACGCAGGTGGAACTGATCAGGGCAATCACGGAAACACTAGGGAGTACAGACACAGGGAGACCCAACAGGGTATCATCCTTACAATAGCAGGCTCATAATAAAGACTTTTTAAATAAACATAAATTGATTAGTTATGTATTGATTTTCACAAATTACTTACACAATCTGTAAGTCATATTTAGCTCAAAAACTCCACAATATCATGACATGCTTACATTGGATGAAGAAGGGGGGAAAAAAGCAAAATAATTTTCATGTTGATGATGCACACTAAAGTATGAGGTGCCGTGTAGGAGATAAACTGTACGGCACCTCATACATTCCACATTACATGTAAAAATGAAAACAACTTTAATGATTTACTGTCATATTTTATTAAAATATACAATGCATATTAAGTAGAGGCAATATTTAGATAATTAATAGGAAACAACACATTTTATCAAATCCCTCAAATGTTAGTCAGCTACAAATGTTAAAAGAGAAACCATTTTGATGTCTGATCTGCGAAAGCAAAAATGATTGTTTCATTATAAAAAATTAAAAAAATACAAAGTACTTTCTCTAACAGTATAAATCATTTTAATAAATCCCAACAAACCTATGGAGAGAAAGGGTTAGTTTCATTTAAGTTCAGACAGTGAAAAAGTGTACATGAACAACTTTTCAACTTCTCCCCCTTTTCTACACATAGGACAATAAAATTAATCCTGCACTACAATAAACACTTAATATTTATGTCTGCACCTGACCTGTTTTGTTGGTATTTTTTTTACATTGTGTGATTTTTATGGGTTTTTTTTTTTTTATTTGTTATTTTTTATATTGTGTGTGATTCCTTTTATATGTTCTTTTGTACTGAAACTCTGGCACAATAATATCTACATTGTCAATAAAGTTATATCTAATCTCATCTTAAACATCTGTTTTCAAATAGAGATTCTGAAAAAAAGATTGTTTTATTTACAGAAAAATACAGTGAATAAAACATATTTAAGTGAATATTAAATAAGTGCATGTTATTTCAATGTCAAATAGAAGCTTAAGACAGAAAAGCAAATGTTTCTTAAAATGAGAAATACCCAGATTTGCAAGATTAAAGTCTTCAGTTTAAAAAAAAATACATGAAAAGCCATTATGCTGTGTTAATTTCATTAAATTCAAACATTATAAATTGAACAATTTGAAAAACATCACATTTACTCTGAAGATTCTTGTCTCACTGTTTAAATCTGCACAAATAAAATCATTATACGAGTTCAATAGAAGATGACAAACATTAAAAACACAAACTGGATGAAGTATTTTGTTATGTAGACTTCATGCAGAAAATGTTTCAGAACCTTAAGTTTTGAGA